TATTTAAATTCTTCTATTAGTTAAGTTAAGCACTTTTTGCAAGTCAAAAGACTAGTGTAAATAAAATAGGGGCTGTTGCTTGGCACATTTGATTACTCATCCTACATATCCAGTACAAATGCACTTAGGCCCAAGAATTTTTCATGAGATTCCCTTATTTTGGTCATTTCCGGTGGTTCCACCAACCTTGCCATTGCAGAAACATGCCCGAATATATTAGCTTTTGCATCGTCATTCAGGTTCTTAACATATGCGTTCCACGTCTTACCATTAGCAAGAATAATGTAAGTAGGATACGCTGGTACAGTGCTTTGATTTGCGTCTGGCACATCCAAGCGACGATACAGAATGCTGCTTGTTGCAACATTAATGGACTTGGTGGGATGCGCTCCTGAGAATATTGCATAAGCACTGTCAGTAAGTGTGCTACAGGTGTTATCACTAAATGGTTCATAAGCGTGATGCTCTATGCCTACACACAACTCTTCTATAACAAGCACTTGAGCGTAAGTGGGCTCCATTAGTAAAAAAAGGCGGTAAAACCACCAGTAATGTGCAAAAGTCTTGTCCCCTTTATTTTTTTCAGCTGTAGCTTGCTAACTAGCAACTAGCTTAATCATGCTAATAGAGTGCCCATTGGGAAATCGCTGGATCAGGCTCTTTTAGCCGCTTGGTTCGAAAGGATAAAGGCATGCTGCCTTTGAGGCTAGCATTGCCCCAAAGCTCCTTTCCAAGTATAATATTTTATTTTCTGCGAAAGCGCAGCCGTTCTTTTTTCTTCTTATTTTTAACCATTTTGTTTACCAACTTGTTTAACACTTCAACATACTTTGCCAAGCCAGCGATTACTAGTCACCATGTCCAACACTGTCTCACCAGCTCAAAGACTTCCGTCCACTATCTTGCGTTCAATCTTAAAGTGGGTAGCATGTGAGAGGAGAACCCCACTTGGTGACGTTTATCACGACTTAGACAAGGTGACATTGAAACAGAGCTCTCTGACCAACTGTGTAGCATCACTCGGCAGCCAAAGAGTCTTATTCCAAATCAGGGGACTAAGACGTAGGCTGTTTTCTTGAAATCAATAACAACATTTGCTTTTCTACAGAAAAATTCAAGAGCAATCAGTCGCCAAGAGGAGCATACTGGCACGAGCTTCTCAAAGTTGTATGAGATTGCTAGTGTCCCCGCTCTCAGGATACTGGCTGACTTTATCGGAAGTGCAGACAAGTTTGCTGCTGTCAACAAGATTATTGTTTCTGTCAATGTATACGAGATTAGGCCATCCTGTACTCTGGATTCTGCTGTTGCCAACGCTTGTGACTTTGCTCAGCTAATCAGGTCGATGGCTCCACATGCATCAGCAATAAAAGTAATGTGTCAAGATACCATCTCCCAGGTGAACGAGATTGGTCAAGTACTTTTAGAAGATCCCGATATGCAGGTCTTTGGAAAATTTGTAAACGCTCTTTGCTGTGGCAGTAACCCTATTCAGGCTAGGCTTTTTTCGGAAGATGTCGACCTTGCAAATTTGCCGACAATTGACTGGGTTCCACAGCTTTCGCAACTTCAAATAGACTGTGAAAGCTCGCCAGATGTGCACACAAGTATAATACACAAGTCGGCAAGCACACTTTACTACCTTTCAGTTAGATTGGGCAACACAAGCGATCTATTTCATGATCTCAGTGACAATTATGTTTGCTACCCAAACTTGCAGTTTTTAGAAATAATGTCAAGTACTCGTGGCTCTCCCGACACAAGAGCAAAATTGGCTAAGGTTGTGCCATTTCCAATATTGCGGAGCTTGAAATTACGCTTTCCATATCCATTTGCTGACGATGTGTTGTTCCGAGGTAACAGCGCAACGCTGAAGTGCCTTGAAATTAGCATCAATAAGGCATCTGTAGAGCTTTTGAGCAGGATGCGTGTGTTTAAAAGCAAAGACCTGTGCTTGCAACATGTGAGTGTTCGCGAACACATTATGAGTTCTCGTAGACACATGCGAGGTGGCGATACAAGCCAGATATCCAAGAACGCTACAGACAGCTTTATTAAGATTGTTGCTGCCAATGCGAAGAAGCTTTCACTGGCAATGCCAATGCTTTTGCAAATCCCCATAGAAGCAGGGCAAAGCGGGTTTGTTTTTAAAGACGTCCAAGTGTTTAACACGCTCTCGAGCAGCGTATCCCTATTTGGAGTATTTTGCTTGCTGAAAGCATTCCCTGCCCTAACCTCTTTTCGAGGTGGAATTATAGGTCTGGGTGAAGAGCTGGAGCATATTGATGCTGATGAACTGCCTGGCTATGTGATTTCAACCTTTGGAGATGTTGGAAAATACTTTTATTGCTGGAAAGGGGCTAGCTATATCCGACATGCCGATGAAACTATCATCTACATTATTTTGCTGGCACTCGCATGTGCAAAGTTTCGTCGTGTAGAGCCAATATCATGTGAGCCAATATCATTTATATCCGGCACCTATCATAGCAAGCTGGCTCTGGCACTCAAGCAAGAGCCATACAGCAAGTACGCTGCACAGCTCCAACACCTTTTCAAGGCAGCATACCACAGATAAAAAAATGATGATCAGAGTGGGACTCGAACCCACGCCTCTTTCGAGAACAGCACCTGAAGCTGCCGCCATAACCGCTCGGCCATCTGACCCCAACGCTTTCCGGAGCTAATTTCCTTATACAGCAGGGCATGCTTGTGCATATATGTGCCAGCGCATGGCAGGGCAGCTGCGCTGGTGTCTGCCCCTTTTTTCTCTCCTATAAAACTTGTGGGATAGCTACTATTAAAGTTACTTGTTTTTACGTTTTTATCGTGTTTTTGCCATGTTATTCTATTATAATCACGCGTAAATGTTGCGTCAAAGTCCCCCTAGCCGCATGTGGCATGCACAATGGGGGAACTAAAAGGACCGCATTGTCTTTGTTTCAAAAGTGCTGCTCCTTTTCTTCGCTGGTTTGCTAGCTGAACGCCAATTGGCTAGTCTCCGTTATTTATTGCAAGACTGCAAATATAGGTGAGGAGTGGGGAATGCTCTGTAAATGTGCTTTAAAAGAAAAGCAGTCGGCCGCCCATCTTTTGCAAATAATTCCATACCCCTACGTACACCTATTCTCAGTACTACCTACTTGAATTGGTTATTTATCAGCATTGATCCCAATGTCGTTTGTCCACTTTTGCTGTGCTTTCAAGGAAAAGTGCACTTTCAAAGTTAAAATGACAATAACTACAGAGGAGGACATATTAACAGCAGCAATGCTAGTACGGGATGGATACTTTACAGAGAATAAAATCAGTGAAGACGTTCCCTTTAGGATAGTGTTTTACGATCAAGATTTAACTGGTTTAGCTAGCCAAGAAATTAATAACGTTGAAGAACTAGCACCTACTATTGAGGGTTTTGTCATGTCATTCTCCAAAGTGTTGGCAAAGGTGTTGGCCAATTCATTGGCCGGTGTTGAAGACAGTACTTTGGATAGCGGTCTCACCGTGTATTATGACATATGTGTGGAAGATCCTGATACCACAGACATGCAGGGATAACTGCAATTCATGTGGATCCACTGCGCCCATACACATCTCCAACCCAATCACAATAGCGTGTACTTGTTTTACTCTGGCCAGCATTATTTTAAATAAACCCACAGCCTCTGTTATTATTATTATTTGCAACACCCAATGGCAACCAATGACAACAGTATCGACGACAAGTCTATAGTGACATGGCTGGATCTGGGAGTAGCGCCGGCCGAGCTGCGTCTTGATCCGACTTTGGTGTGTGGCCAGGCGTTTCGCTGGAAGAGCACTGGACCAAACGAGTGGACGTGTGCGATTTTTGAGCATGTAGTCGACTTGAAACAGACAAGCACCAGTGTTTTCTTCCGCTCCCTGGGCAGACTGCCGACCGCTGCAGAATCGGACGACGAGTTGAAGCTGTTACTGTTTGGATATTTCCAGCTACATGTCAGCCTGCAGGCGCTTTGCGAGCAGTGGACAAAGGCAGACCCAGAGTTCAAGGGGCTAGCGCAAACACAGCTTGGAGTGCGTATCCTGAGGCAGCCGGTGGTGGAGAATCTGTTTACGTTTATTGCATCGTCCAACAACAACATCAAGCGCATCACGATGCTGGTCGAAAGGTTGTGCGGCAAGTACGGCCAAAAAATCGAGACCACAAAAGGCGCATTCTACACTTTTCCTACTATCCAAGCAATTGCACAGGACCTGGATATTGAGCAGACGATGAAAGAGCTAGGATTTGGGTATCGCGCCAGGTACTATGCCAAAACTGTAGAGTCTCTTGTGCAAATGGGGGAGCCCGATGCGTATCTTGAGAAATTGCGCAGCGAGCCAGCAGAGGTCGCCAGGTCCAAGCTGATGAAGCTGTCAGGTGTCGGGCCAAAGGTCGCAGACTGCGTGTTGTTAATGTCGCTGGACAAGACAGATGCCGTCCCAGTGGACACACATATATGGCAAGTCGCCAAAAAACGTTACGTGGGCAGATCTATTGGCGCATGGAGCGAGCTGTCGTCAGACAAGCAAGAAAAGATACAGCAGCTAGCGCGCCAGCTCAGCGCATTCAAGTCGCCGTCAACCAAGGCGTATGAACTAGCACAAGAGCTTATAGTCACTCTATTTAGCCCATATGCTGGCTGGGCTCAAGGCATGCTGTTTTCAGACGACTTGGCGGTCAATGCAGACGCCGCCGTGGCCAAGCCCAAGCTCAAGCCTGCACCGGCCAAACGCAAGGCTGAAATGGTGGTAGTGGCGCCAAAGAGGTCTGGGCTGCGCTCCTCTCGGCCCACTTGACATGCTATATAGAGCTGTTACATCTTCTTTAGAATAAACGGCTTGAGACCGTACAACCACAGTGGCGACTCACGTATGCGCTGCCCAAGGCCAACTTCCGTAACCATCTTGGAGTGGGACAGCAAGGAGAGCGCTTCTTGGTGCAAGTCGGCTTGCAGCTGTTTGTGGCTCGCCAAAGTGCCAGGTATGAGGGTAATCTGGGTCTCCAAGTCGCAGTATATTGACCTGTAACCGTAGTTCGGCGACCCGATCATAGTCAGTTGAGGCAGCTTTTGGTCCAAGTAGCACCACACGCCCTTGCCATGAAATGTCCACTGGTCCCTACCATACTCCTCGACGGCAATGTCGGAGCGGCCGCCAAGCCTCGCGGCCTTGAGAAACTCGTGCTCAATAATGCTGTACATGTCGGGAATATAGCGAGATATGCCAGAGGCGGTGTAAAAGCCGTTAGCTTGCGGCGAGGCCACCAAGAGGTTCCACCGCGCGGCATTTTGCAAAACGCTGTGCTTGTGAAAGTCAGAAAAGTTAAAGTACGCTGACGCCATCAAGTTTCGACATCCATGGAGCCGGGCATAAGAGTCAGTCAAGTGAAAGAACTCGCGCATGTGTTCCTCGTCTTGCGTAATGCCCAGTTGGCTCATTTGTACGGTAGGAATCGCCAAGGTATCGGTCTCGTCGACAGTGTCTAGCGAGTTTTCGACCTCTGCGCGGCTCAAAAACTCTGTCATCACCGAGTTTGCCACAGCTACAAACTCGCGCGGATCACACGATGGATCAGGGATGCCGACAGGCATAGTCAGCGACGAGCCACTGCGCTTGGCACCAAGAGCAAAGGAAAACCCGGCGATGGCGCGGACCAGTCCAGCAAAGTAAGCCGCCAGTCCGCAGCACTCAATCTTTATATAGCGATCCTGGCGGTTCGTAAAGTAGTCGCGGCTGAGGTTGGCACCGCTGATAATAAGCGTGTCGTCAAACACGTAGGCCTTGATGTGCTGCAGGCCAAATGTCTCGTTGTATCTCTGCGGCCACAGGCGCTTGCTGATGCCACTGAGTGCCGGCGTGTGGTACATGGAAATGCGCACGCGTTGCTCACCATACTTGCCCACCAGGGGCGCTAGCATGGTGGCCGAGCTCTGCCCACGGGCGTCAGACCGCGTGCCCCGCAGACAGTCCAGAAGCACGTCAACGTGGAGCGCCTGATTTGCTCCAAGCGCTCGGTCCAAGGCAGAGACTAGCTCTGGTTCATTGCTGCCCAAGTACAGGCTGCTGAGCACTATCCGTGTCTTTGCTTGAGCGATGCCGCGCAAAAGGCTCTGGTAGAATATCCGCGGCTCCCGGATAACCTCGACTGCCTCTGTGATCCGGAACACGGGTCGGTTCTTGGTCAGCGCCGCAAACACTTGGTGCGCCGACTGCACGCGGCTCCTGTCGCTACACATTCCTCGCCGAGCCGCCGTGTGCAGCAGCAGACGTCGAATCATGCGAGAAAAAAGTGTGAATTCAATAAAAATATTTATCAAGAACAAAATTTTTTCAAGCAAGGGAGAGAGAAAACATTGTTTTAACATTGTATGTGAGCGCCTTGGTTGGCGTCCAGTCTGAAAAGGGTGGGCTAAAAAAACAAAGTGGTGAGACTAGTGGTCCTCGGCCCACTCGTTCTCCTTCTTGATCTGCTCGCGCTCCTCGGGGCTAAAGTCGTCGACAATGTTGAACATTGTGCGGATCTCCTGTGCGGTCTTGTTGCGGATCATGTTGGCAACGGTCTTGCAGCCCAGCTCCAGCAGAGGCTTGATGTCCATGTAGTTGGCAGCCAGCAGGATCTCAAACAAAAGCTCCTGGTCAACCTTCATAAAGTTCTCATCCCGCGGCTCAATATCGTCGGAGCGCTTGGGGATCTCATCCAGGTCATCAGGAATGGGAGCGGGGTCATCAACGTGGTACTCGCAGTACTCGATGACCTTTTCGAGAACCTTGGCAGCAACGTTGGGCAGAGGAATAGGCTCATCGCTCTCTCCAATGTCCTCAATCAGGTTGCTGATCAGCTTGCTCTGTTTTGCGACGGCAATCTCGACTGTAAAGTTTTTCCCGTCCGACGACTGAAGCACAACCATGGTTTAGACCGAGAGAGAGAAAGAGATATAAGGGTGGTGTTTTGAAGAAGGGGTCGCGTAGATTGGCTAACGGGTCTCAGACTACTGCAAATGAGATGAAAACAAACGTGTGAGTAAACAAAATGAAAATGACAAAAGAGAAGAAAAGAGTGTGATGGCCCACTACTGCGCTGGGAAGGCTTTTGCTTGATTGATAAAGTTGGAAGAGCAGAACACAATAGAAATGCCAGCGGGTCAAAGACCAGTACTATGTGGTTCAGAGCCTTTGACTGCGACCTTTCAGCAAAGGCAAAAGGGCAAAAGGTGCACTTCCTTGAGAGGTGCTTTCTCAAAGCCGCAGCAAAAAGCTTAGCGGCGTGTAAAAGTACGTTAAGGCGAGCGAGGCTGGTTCACCGTGCAATAGTGTGAGAAGCAAAAAAAAGGCGTCCACCGCATAAAGGGAGTATTTTAGAGCCAGCGAAATGTGCACCTCTCAAGCTCCAGAGCCAGACTGCGCAGCTCATACGACAAAGAAACAACGACAGTCAGGACTACAGCAGTAATGGTCCATGCGTGAGGATTCGAGTATTATGGACGTAAAATTACCTTTTCCAAAGTGGTAGATTGCTAAAGCTTTTAAAAAATGACAAGCAAAGAAAAGAAAAAAAAAAAGAAATGAACTGCTAGTTTGTTGTTGTGATCTAGTTTGGCATGATGAGGGGCTTGATTTTCTCAGATGCCTGCTGCGCAATTCGG